GTAAATATTAATGAGTGTTAATCAAATATGGACCAATTATTGATTCCCTGTGACTTACAACCAATGGGAGAATAGATTACAGATTGATTGATGTGCAGACACGCACACAATCGGACTCACACAGAAGTTTACATAGTGGATTAAGTGTCTAAATTACAATGAGTAGACAAGTAATACCATAGTTCAATGGGCTTACTAAAACTATACACAATACAATACGCAGTCCACACAGACACAGACACACACGCATATGCATAGGCACATCCACATCCACATCCACATACACTATCAACATCGAGTCAGATCACACAGTCACAACACCTGATCGAAACCATCTCATTCTCACTCACTCACTCACTCACTCACTCACTCACTCACTCACTCACTCATCGTCTCACTTAATCATTCATCACCATACATCACAGTAGTACCGTACTGTGAGACCATGTTGTCTGTGGATGGGACTAGGTAAGGCGCTGTCACTGTTCGGTGTTGTGCATTGCACCAAGTGTTCAAGAGACACGGAACGCTGTGAGAATATGTACAGTGTCACGTGATGCTTAAGGTGTGACTCGAGTGATTGTCAACAGTTATGATGTGACTGCGACTCGATGCGGTGCCCATGAACACTGCAGCAGAGATCCAACGCCTTACACCACTCAACCACAGGAAAAATGATAGGATATGCGCAAAACTTATTTATCAGTTTATAATGACACTCCATACGTAACAAGTAACTTTTCTACCAAACTGAGATAATAGTACAACTTCCATTGTAAGAGTTGTCATTTCTGTCAGGTTCAATACCTATAGTGTTTCAACATCATCCATGCTAACAACGTAAAAATAACTACTCAGTAAGCTAAGTCGCTGTCTCACCTTTTTTACACCTTAAATTCTGGTATAGCAGGGATTTCGTGCACCATTATAACGATATACGTAACATAAAGTTCAACCAACCCAGTAGATGAAGTTTGGAAACCCTATTACAATTGTATGCTTAACTTTGAAACTACTTCACTGGTTCCAACATGCGCGGGTAGTGACTTCACGATCATTTTCACCAGATTCTTGTAATGCAAACATAGTTTACCTTCCAGGAAAAAAACACCCTACATTAGTAATGCAGTACAGATCGAAACACTGAACAGCACACTTGTTATTTACACTCTTATTTTTTCCACTGACCCTACTCACACTGGTGGTTATGGTGTAACTCGTATGATGAGTCAAGATCCTACTTAAAAACAACGTCAGACACTTATTCAATAACGTCGTCCGGCAGCAATCACTTTGTCTAACTAAATTTCTTGCTCTCACTTGTAATTCTCCTCCCAACAACAACAAAAAGCAAACCAACTTTCTAAGCGTGCAAACCACAGTTCACACTTTACAGCATTAAATACAGGTTAAGCTACAGAGATGGCACCCATGCAATACATTCACATAAGACCTACGTGTGAAACCTTGTCAAACGCTTTGCTAAAATCTATGAATATCACATTGACAGACAGACCGTTATCTAGGGCTGCTGTCCAATCCTCCCTCGCAATAAGCAAGTTAGTCAAGCATGAACGCTTGTTACGAAATCCGTGTTGCTCAGGAGCTAACAGATTGTGTAAATTTATGTGGTTTAGCAACCTAACCCGAATTATCTTTTCAAGTAACTTAACGACTATGCTAGTTAGACTAACAGGCCGGTAGTTAGATACTATCTGTCGCTGACCGTCCTTAAATATAGGATTAACTGTAGCGTCCTTCCAATCTCTAGGGAGTTGAGGGAGTGAAAGGGACATGTTGAAGAGTGTCGCAAGCGGTTTCGAAATAATGTCCGCAAGAGATGATAGCAACCGTGGATATAACCCGTCAGGGCCCGGTATCTTAACAGGTTTGAGGTTAGTCATCAACGGAAGGACAGTTTCCGCAGTCACCTGTACAGATTCAATGGTTGGTATCTCGGTGTGAGTGGGACAAGTATTTGTTACAACAAACGTGGAGAAGACTTCGCTAAAATAGTTTGAAAAAGTCTCAGCTTTTGCTCGATCTGATTCAGCTAGTAATTCTGAATTTTCGTGTAACAGTAACGGGGGAATACCATCACTACGTTTCATTTGCCGTTTAACATACGAAAACAATCGTTTCCGACAAGTACGTCTATCATATACTAACTGTCGTTCGTAAGTGGTACGGGATTTGGCTATGGTTTTCTTACAGATATTACGGAATTTTCGGTACTCACGCTTAAATGGTGCATGACCTGTCAACAAGAATAAGTCCCAGAAATGTTTCCTACGCTTTAACAGCTTCCGGGTTTCCTTATTAATCCATGGAGGGCAATGTGATGGCTTACGTGCTGACCATGGGATAAACGGCGACGGTACGGACTCGAATATAGCCTTAAATTTATTCCATTCATCTTCGATCAATCCATCCGCGTCGACCGACCAATCGGTCGAGATAGCACGGTTTCTGATTTCCGGAATATTAGCTCGCCAAATATTGGGACGGGGTGGAGCAGATACGAATTGTATACCATGTGTCCTAAACTTAAAGTGATTTACAACGTGATCACTGTTCACTAGTCGGGAAAGGTGCTGAATATCAAAAACATCCTCACAGTGGTGCGTGAGGGCAAGGTCCGGCAGTGACGGATCATGATTGAAATCAATATGTGTCGGTTTTGTGATACATTGTACAAGCGCACACTGAATAACGGTAGATAAAAGGTTGCTATCGAAACCACTACCTGGAGCTGTAAGCTCTATCCAGTTGATATGCGGTGCGTTGAAGTCCCCAATGATGAAACAACATTCTGCCATACTCCAAGAACAGATGTGTCTTGGGATAAAGTCGTCAGCAAGACAAGACGGACTACGGTATATTCCGCCTATAGTCACTAACCCACTTCTAGATTTAATCTTACAACATGCAACCTCATATGTGCCACTGATATGAGCCTCTGATATGGTTGATTGTATATGAAAGTGATCCCTAACGTATAATATTATACCTCCCCCTTTGCGACTTGAAACTCTATCACTTCTAATACAGATATAGCCTGCAATGAACGGAGAACAGTATATATCTACTGTGAACCAAGTTTCTGTAACAACGATTATATCGGGACATAATTCTTCCACCATCAGACTTAGCTCAGACGTTTTATTTCTAAGACTACGAGCGTTCGTGTAGCACACAATTAAGGTGTTTTGGAAATCAATCGTTCTACCCATACAGGCCTCGGAAGCATTGGCTTCCAAGACCTGACTACCCGAAAACCCTTAATGGTAAGGTTATTTTCGCCATTTAATTTGCGAGTCCTCAACTCCGTAAGAGAATTCTTCCGCTTGATTTGATCCTCAAGCGGCCAATCTGGTCGAATATGGATATTTGAGTCACGAGTTTTTGGTGCGTTTTTCAATAATATGTCTCTTTCTTCGAAACTCCCGAGAACCAGCTTCAGGATCCTTCTTGGTTGGGTCTCGCCTCCAACCCATTTAGCAAGTCGTATTACTTTTGTAATATGTACCCCTGAAACCTCTTCAGGTAGTACATTCCTGACCACAGACTCCACTAACTGTAGGTCATGTGCGTGTCTTTTAGCAGGGTCGTTGTCTTTCGACTCCTCTAGATTCCAAATAATTAAACTAGGGATGGGTTTAGCTTCTTTTGAAACTGTGTTCACAGCTTTCGACCGTGACGTTAGATCCTGTATTTTAACTACTGGTAGCTTACGATTAGTTTTTATTTTAACAGAGTCCTGGGAGTCAAGCGAATGACTCACAACAATGTCAGACGAAGCTTTACTATGAGACTTTGGCGGATTGGTCTGAGAGTCCACCAAGGACTTACCAAGTAAACAGTCATTAGTTTTAGCTATCTTTCCTACTCTTCTGCGTTTTCGCGTCATCCATTTTCCATCAGTCGAAACGTCTACATTAGAACAACTCGGGACAGTAATTGTTTTATCTGGGTCAGCGGTTGCTGCTGTAGCAATATGGCCACCAACGTGTAATGACGTGTCACTCACTGATCGTTTCGGGGGAGAACGTTTAACTGTGGGTTGCACAGGTAGATGTCTGGATTGCGCCGTGATAGCACTTACGACACTAACGCAATCTTCGCCATCCGTACCAATGTTATCAGTACAGCCCTCATCAACCTTCTTATTAGCCAACACCAGGAGACTAATTGCTTCCTGGATAAGCAATGTTTTGCTCGAGCAACAAAAACTACAAAGCCAATGAGAGTTGGGCTTTGAGCACCTTTTATATGCAGTGGGGCTTAATCGGGTGCATACCTTATGGAACCACTTATTACACTCATCACATTGCATCCCTTCATCCACGGGAAATAAGCAGTATGGTTGTCCACATTTATGAGTAGACCTAGCCATCTTGAAAATCAACTAGAACGGTGACGAAGACAGGATATGTAGAAGGATTTTCAAACCTTAACTAAATAAACCAAGTAAAAGTCGACCAAGTATGCTTCGATGCAATAAATACACAGAAGCAAAATCGAAAAACTCAATAAAATATCACTTTAACTGGGGTAGATGCAATTAAAGTGTAAACAGTCGTTTTGATGCGTAATTTACGATCAAAACAGTTAATTAACTCAACGAGAAAGAATGCCACTGTCCTTTTAAATAGAGCGCTACTTGGGGGGTTTGCGAGCACTTGAAGGTCAAACTGTCGCAAAATGATTGGTTCGTCACATCGACAATTCGTGAAAATTTTCAGAAGCGGTCAAATCAAGACATTTTTAGATTTGAATTGAGTTCAGCCACACTATGTCTGATAACGTTCATTCTTCAGGTAACGAAGACGATTCCATCGTGATGATGTATGATATAGGACGAATCTTCAATGAAATTATGTTATCTCGAAGATTTACAAGTTGGGACAATTTTGAGACCTGTTTGAAAGAAGTACATAAGGTAATATGACCTCTGTGGTTAATAATTATTTTTTTAGTATACGCATACTAAGTACGTTATGTCAGTATGCAAAAAGAACAGTGATGATCCAACTCTAAAGTACTTTTTCGTGAGATATGTCTGTACATATGGACGTAAACGCAGTTCGTCAGAGTCAGATGCAACTCGTTGGAGAAATAGTCAAGCACCATCGCGCTTAGACTGTTTATTCACAAACGAAGAATTCCTAGTTGACAACCTCTCAATCCAGGCTCCTCTGGGAAAGAGCGATCATGCCGTCATAGCCTTCAGTTTTGTCATCAAAACTAAGCTAAGGTATCCCAACAATAATTTGCGTTGGAATTTTAAACGACTGAATGTGCCAGCTCCACATGACTATCTACAACAGGTGGTTTGGGATGTTCACCCTCAACTCGACGTGGACGGTCATTGAGACTTCTTACTGCATACGCTCCTATGTGCTACAAACCATTCAGTTCCTCTAACGGTTCCCGAAAGCTGAAGCCACCTACGGTAATCAAGAACCGTACCCTTCTCCTGCTAAGCCGAAAAAGGCACTGTTGGGCGGAATACAAACGAACTGATAACGACGGAGCGTACAGGTAATATAAACATATCAGGAACATATGCACGAAGGCTATAACAGAAGACAGGCTTCAGTACCAGACAAAGTTTATGGACAAATTTGCCTCTAACCCTAGAAGCCTATTCCGCTATGCAGCCTCTCTTCGTCAAGCCAAAACAGGAGTTTCTCAACTGGTAGGTCTTAACGGCCCCACCAACAACGATGGCGACGCCGCTGACCTTCTGGCGGCCCATTACTCTCAAACATTTCAACCGGCTGACATCAACTTTACTGACGACAGTTTCTTCTGCAATTCCATAGGACTCTCCGAAGTGAACCTACGAGCTGACTTGGTGTTCCGTAAATTGCAGCACTTAAGACTAGATACTTCTCCTGGCCCGGATATGGTTCATCCTTTCATACTGAGGGAGGCAGCCTCGATCCTGGCAACGCCGCTTAGCGTGATGTTTTCACACTCGCTAAGCCTAGGCAAATTACCGGAAAATTGGAAGTTGGCTCACATCACACCAATTTTCAAAGGTGGTCGACGCAATGAACATTCAAGTTATCGGCCGGTGGCTCTTCTGTCTTTATCTTCAAAACTCATGGAGTCCCTGATATGCGACGGTTTAAACGACTATCTACTGTCCTTAAATTTCTTGTCACCCCAACAGCATGGTTTCAGGAAGGGTTACTCTTGTATAACCAACCTGCTGACTGCGGTTGACAGATGGACAAGCATCCTCGATCGCAAGGGAAAGGTTGACGTCATTTACCTTGATTTCTCAAAAGCTTTTGACAAGGTTAACCACTTGTGTCTTACCAATAAGCTCAAACGACTAGGTATCAAACCACCATTAATCGATTGGCTTACTTCATACCTAAAAAATCGACACTTTAAGGTTAGGGTCAATTTCACTTTATCTCTGGCTATGGATTGTCCTAGTGGGGTCCCCCAAGGCTCAGTACTAGGGCCTCTTCTCTTCTTGATCTACATGAATGATCTTCCTCAACAGGTAACGTCAGACTTATTACTTTTTGCCGACGACGTGAAACTTTGGAGAGAGATACGCAACCAAGACGATATACAGGCACTTCAGGAGGATCTGACTCGACTTCAAAGTTGAGCAGACAATAACGGACTTACCTTTAACACTTCAAAGTGTAAAGTAGTCCATCTGCGACATGTCGCAAACTACAGTTACAACTTAGGAAACTCCTCTCTAGTAGTATCCCAAGTCGAAAAAGATTTAGGAGTCCTGGTGCCCCATGATTTAAAGTCTTATGCTAACTGTGACAAAAATGCCTTCCGAGCAAACCTTGCACTGGTAACGTTGAAGCGCCTTTTTGGACAGTTTGACGGACGAACTTTCCACACAATCTTCAATAGTTTCATCCGTCCCCATTTAGAGTACGGAAACATAGTACTCCCTCCCTCACTCCAAAAGGACAAGGCCACTTTGGAGCGTATCCAACGTCGAGCCACGAAATCAGTTCGAGGACTCAAATCTAAACCTTACGAAGAACGCCTCCATTCACTAGACCTTTACCCACTAGAGTATAGGCGTCTTAGAGGTGATTTATTAATGGCTTATAGTATTCTTAACACTTCTGGACATCCTCTTAAACACCTACTTAAGCTTAGTTCGAATAATAACCTAAGGGGTAACTCCCAGAAACTGGAAACACAACATAGCAAGACGGAATGTAGACACAACTTCTACTCCTTAAGAGTTGTCAAAATCTGGAATTCGCTACCAGCCAAGCTAGTCCAAGCGACTTCTCAGGAGTCTTTCAAGAGGCAACTTGACCTATTCTTAAGGACCAAGGACAGCATCACACTATGATTTACCAATTTCTTTTCCTTTTTTATTGTTAACATACCTAGGTTTCTGCCTGGAGGATTTGGTGATCCCCTGCTACTAGACACGGAAGCCTGTTAAGCGAAAGCTTCTTCTATTCCGTCCACAACCATTTTGAACCATTTGCTTGCGTTCAGGATGTAGATGATGATAGTAATAATCATTCTTCTGAAGAGCATACAACTTCTAACTCGCCAACACAACCTAGGCAAAGGAGACGACGTCGGTCATCTACGTATGCCTTACTTCAAATGAATTTATCCTCCAGGTCGAAATATTGCCACTGTCAATCAGGATTTTGGGTCCGGGTAGTGAATGGTGATTTGAAACTCACCTCTATTAAAACCGTGCACAACCATCCTTGCACAAATGATATATTTCTGTCGATCCATCGAAACGACAGTTGACCTCAAGTGAACGCTTGTATTTACGAACGTTTCTACTGAGTAATACACTAACTCGTAGCTTACGTTATCTGGTTTCTTTGAAGTTCAATAAACAGCTTACCAAGGACGGTATCGCCAGAATGCGTTCACAGTTGTACCCAGGTTGTTGAACTCACATTGTAATTAATTGAGTTTAGACACTAAAAATATCAATGACATTTTACAGCGCATTCAAGCAAATACTGAAGTTAAAGTATTCAATGAAAATGGGAACATGTTTATGATTTGCTTCAGCCGCAGAGAGCAAATAGCTGTTTACCACGCGTTCCCGGAGGTAATATGTATTGATTCGACTTATCAGACCAATAAAGTCGGGTAAGTGACGATTAGTAATAAATTTATCTGAAAGTTTTCCACTGTCCCAGCTAGTGGTGACTGATAGTCTTGGGCAAGGGCACACTGTTATGTATGCTCTTTGCAGTCAAGAACGACGCGAATATATCGAAAAAATATTGGAATGTTTTAAAGAGATAATATGCGGTACTTATGCTACACGCACTTTCATTATGGATTCGGCAGCGACCGAAATTTCTGCTGTGCAGTCTACGCACAGTCATTCTAACATAATACTTTGTTCATTCCATGTCCTAAGAGCGTTTTTCAGGAAGGTATGTGTTAGCTGTACAGATTATTTTCTGTAGTTCCGAAATCCTGATGTGCTCAAATGCTTGGAACACCTTGTGAAGACTAGACGGTTTGATATGTGAGCTTCGCTTTTCAAAGCGCATTATATTCAGATTTACTCGAAAGTACGAACATCTAAGGACGCATTTCCCACGGGCGTATGATTACATAAAAGATTACTGGATTGCCAGGAAGTCAATGTGGGCTCGCTGTTACCGGCGACATCTATTAAGCCTGGGAAACCACACAAACAACCGTGTCGAAAGTGCTCATAAACACCTAAAGGAATGTCTCAGAAGAGGTGATTCCCTGTTATTGACGTTCTGGAAAATTTGGAGTAAAACAGACATTGACCTACGTTTGCGTCCTTATGACGCTGTGAAGGATCTTCAACGTTTTCCAATTCTTCAGGTAGGAAATATAGTTAAATGTATCATTAATTCCAGGTTCCAATGTCATTTCGAACTCTTCTAAATGAGTTCACATCTTTTGTAGCTAAAATTGTAGCTGTAAATTATAAACGTGTTCGGACAATGAGACACGAATTTATAGAAGGAGAATACATTCGGTGCTACGACAAGGGTATGATGTGTGTTGTTGATACTTCACGTGCACGATGTGCTTGTGAGCGTTTCAATGACCACATGCTGCCCTGTGGTCATATTTTGTATACACATTCTAAAGATCTGATTAGCGGAGGTATGTGTGTTCCTTTATCTCCATAAGTTTTGTAGACTTATTTCGACATAGCAACCGGTGGACAAGAAAATACATAATGGACCTGGTTCTTCGTGCGCTGGACAACATCTCAATCTCTACAGGGAGTGATGATCTGCTAGAGAAGTTCACTAGCAACTACCACTCAATCCATGCTCTTAGTGAACCTTTGGCAAGTAAACTCATCCGTTCATGCCTCGAAGCATCGGAAGATATATGTGCACAGTTGATGAGTTCAGTCGGTGCTAATGATGAAGCTACAACGTCAGAATCCATTGTTAATACAGAACATAGCTATGCTTCTTGCAAACAAGAAGTTCTAATATTGTAATCTTTTTAGTTTTACATAAATTCATTTATATGGCCATTGAATTATTCTTATAGCGTAACGGCAGGGAGTGTACTGTGCAGTCTTATGTGGCTGTGAGACAGGGATGTTGTTTCGCGTTCTTGTGTAATAATTACCAGTTTGGCGCACACGCGATTAGTCATACATACCGTTTACCAAATACTGCAACCTTGAACATGGTGTACCATACTAGTAGTTCGGATTTCGACGTGTCACGATAGATAAGAATTGCCGTAATTAAGAGACTAGTGCGTTATAAATGAAAACGTTTATTAAAGTTTGAATCCAGCACAAATGATCCATTAATAAATAACTTCTATTTCTCAGGAATTGTTCCCGTTAGGTCTGTGAACACTTGGGAAGCTAGCTGGAAATAAGATAGACAGGAAAGTTACTTCAGTATAAATGTTTACCAGAAACTAGTATAAAAACGGAAACAAGTATTCAATTACAGGTCGAAAGTGCATTTAGCACACCCTTCCTTTGGATAGTCAATCACGCTTATTTCCTTTATCTCTTGCGTTGCTTAGGAAAGTCTGGGTCACAACATACACGGATTGTATTATTTAATTCTTTGGGCAGGTTGCACTTCGGAAACTTAGACGATGAACACATATAAAGACTACTGTGTGAATTTACTTTGAATCGTCCTGTGTAACCTGCAATTGTTGATGCATATTCTATTCTAGTCCCACGTAAGTTATGAGTAATTGTCATTTACGGCATCAGCACGTAAGCTAGACAGGCCTTGGTTGATTTCCGAAAATCATCACATAGGATCTCACACAATCTGGTCACCTTAGATCAAGATATCTTGACTATCGAATCGTACTTTTCAGTGCTTTCTCGTGACAGCTTTATATCAGTACT